GTGCATCAGAGAGCGATTTGGGGTTAGTATATTAGGTTGCAATGCAACCATAATAAATATGGCAACAAATTACTTTGTAAAATAATGTTAACCAGTGTAATGTAATTTGTAATTAATTACTTTTTTGAGTGATAAAGCCAACACTGTGAGTAAATATGTGGGGGAAATAAGAACTTCAAAGAAGAGAGTAACAGATCCACACTGACCACGTATACATCAGCCAGTGGTGACTAGTGATGAACATTTGGAAATAATGAAATGGAGTGACTGAAGAACAGAGTCATCATTGAAATCAATGAAAACATTAACTTTGTTAAAGTAGTAGGTCTTCCCAGCAATCAGTTTAAGGGAGCTGCAGCGATCATCTCTTTCCAGGATGTAAGGCAAAGGCAGAGCTTTCACTTTGGCCTCCATCCCATGGACCTTCAGCACACTCCTGAACACAATGCTCTGCAGCGACACACTTTCCACAGTCCCAATGTGCACTAAACAATGAGACACACAAGTATTTTACATATACTTGTAAACAGCATTTGTTCTGATATTTAAAAAAAATCTAAATAACAGATGATATCTTACTTTCTTTGCAAAGATCGATTTTGTTCAGATTATCCACAGATAGAAGTCTGGATCCTAAAAAAAAGAACATTGTAGGTGCATTGTTGGTTAAATACAGAATCTGGGCTGAGGCATTGAGATAATATGACATACACTGAAGATAAACTTTGTGAGAGAACAGCTCATCAGACACAACAGACCATTAATCATCTTTCTCTGATCCTGTCCTGGTTCATGGATTCTTCTCAGTCCCCCAGCACAGCATGACCACAGGGTGGTGTTATAGTAAAGGTGACCACAGCATCTGAACCCTGTCTTGGCAGAGTAGAGCACCTCTTTGTCCTCATTTGAGCAGCAAATGTCCTGGTTTTTGAAAAGATATATAGCATTTTATGTTAAATAAAAGCATGATTGATTGGACTCATTGAACACTGTGTTAGTTCAGGCAAGCCATAAAGTCAACTTCAGCCTGTAATGTTGATACAGAGCTGGTATCAGGCACATTTTTGGAGATTAATAGAAAATATTACTTTGACTAAAGTCAGTCTGACTGTTAAATATACAGTAAATACCTCCAGCAAACAGTTTCAAGATAGAGAGATGAAGCATTTGAAAGGAAGTGATTAGAATGGTTCATCAACCCTGATAATTATTGCTGGTTCAGATTAGAATGGCTTCTTTTGCTAATAATCTCTACCAAATTGTTGTGAATCTAGCTTTTGCAGAAGGAATCATAAAATGTACACAGAAGATGATTAATCTGCTTTAAAAAAGCCTCTAAATGTTTATGAAAAGTTTTTAACAGTTGGCCAAGTAGCTCCAGTGATGAGTCACTTGTTACATCATGCTGTTTTCATTCACTTTATGCTGACTGTGCTTAAGTTAAATATATTTTGGATTTGTAGTTCAGTTATGCAGTTAGAGAGAGAGTTGCGGTTTCCTGTTTACCCCTCAGGCCCATATCAATTTCTCTACTTTACCAGTGTTATTCATGTTGCTTCAAAATTACAGACAGGACTCTGAGATAGTTAAAAAGCTCAAGAAATCTAACTTTTCAACAGTTGTTTATTTTTTCCATTTTCATATTGGTCAAATCATGGTTTATGCGTCATTTTGATATGACACCAAGAGGCAGAAGGCACCAGTCAGAAAGAGGCGCTTTAACAATGATAGGCCACTGTAAACAAAACACAGAGTGTGAAAAGTTATGGGACAGGGAGGCCAACTTAGCTGTGTTAAATCTAATGACATAATACAGTGGAATGCACGAATAAGATGAACAAACAACAGATTTTCATCATCATTACTAATTCTACCTGTGGCTTTTGCAGAATGGATCCGCAGCACTGCGCATCCTCTCCATGCTTGTCTAATGATGTCAGATTGTACAGTGTTCCTGCACAGCACTTCATCTGTGGGTCTTTAATGTTGTAGGCTTTGACCCCACAGCAGTGAATGTTTTCTGATTTCAGATGTCTGGTTGGAAAACATTGGGACACATTAATATCAAATAAGGACAAAAATAAATAATTATGTTTGTAAGAGGCTGAGTTAGATGAGTCTGTAAGGAGGCAACAGATGAAATGGAGGAAACACACTTTGAGGCCGGAATTCTTGCATGCAGCTCATTTACAAAAAAATGTGATTACCAGGTTAGTGGAATGAACAACCAATGAAGAAACTTGTGCCAACAAACTTAAGATTTAAAAAAAAAAAACAACAAAAAAAAAACTATGGAAAATTATAAATCAACTACATGAAACTCTAAAAGGCTTACCTGGTAAGATCCCAATCCCCCCTACTATAAAGGGGTTTGGAACTTATCATTGCCTGTTTGGCAGTCTGGATCTCCAAAGTGGATTGCATTATGGAACAGAGTAAACCTGTTTACTGTTTTCCTGTTTGAGGTTTACTCTGTTTGAGGTTTACTCTGTAAACCTCAAACATCCCAGATAAGTTGAATTGTCAATACTGACAATTTAACTTTGCAATAAATAGTTTTGAATGCATAGGCCCCCTGCACAATTATGTTATAGTATGAAGATGATGACTTGGGAAATGCTAACATTACCAGAAATATGTATTTTATCTAACCTACTTACCACTTGAAACAAACTAATAAAGAAGTGGTTCACAGCAGCATTAGTGTCACATTCACTGAGACAACTCTATTCTTTCGGCTAGATATAAAACAATAGAAATTGCCATCTTAGTGTTTTGTGGGCCATACTCAGTCTTAGTCCTCCAGAGGCATGGGTTATCCTGTGACAGAGTCTTTATGTATAGTGTTGGATATCATTCTGGAAGCTAACTTCTTCATTTAACAGTCTTTACACAAGCTGTGCACTGAAAGCAGAACATCAGAGCTGCACTTTAAGCTCTCAGTCATTGTCTACATAGAATGCATTTATACCAAATGCACTTTGACAGCTACTGCAACTGGAAACAGACTCAAGAGCAGCCAAAAAGTCAATCAGTTCAACTCCAACAGACATAACCATAAAAGTGAATCCTGAGTAAAAATACCTGGTGAGTTGGGCAATAATCTATATATTAAATTCAAATGTGTCACTTCAAATTGCAAAATACTTAATGATGCAATAGCTAAATACTTTAGCTCTAAGATGAGTCATGACCACACAGAAACAAGACACGGAACACAATGAGACACCACACAGACTGAAAGAAATGTATTTTAAGAGTCCTGGGAACCAAACGAAGGCAGGGAAAAGTTTGTTACGCAACTGTCTGTGTGTCTTAGAAACCATATGAAATCATCAGCTATGAAAAATGTTTCATTCTACTTCTCTTCTCTCTCTCTCTCACTCAGAAGACAATACATTAAACTAGTTTCCATGCTCCCAGCTGCTCTGACTGACTAAATTCAAAACAGGAGCCATTAGATACTAATCAGATAAAACAAACGAAGAAATCCCTTTTCAGTGGATTTTATCAGCAATGTAAAGCAATATGTCTGTGAAGGTTCTCAGTCATCCAGGTCATCGTAGTCAAAGGAGCTTGCAAAGAAAAGCGTCTATGGTATCTAACCAGATTCTTACTCTGGATGGCATTACCTTGGCCTCCAGTAACGCTGTGAGGAACCTTGGAGTCATTTTTGACCAGGACATGTCCTTCAACGCACATATTAAACAAATATGTAAGACTGCTTTCTTCCATTTGTGCAACATCTCTAAAGTTAGAAATATCCTGTCTCAGAGTGACGCTGAAAAACTAGTTCATGCATTTATTACTTCCAGGCTGGACTACTGTAATTCATTATTATCAGGATGTCCAAAAAACTCACTGAAAAGCCTTCAGCTAATCCAAAATGCTGCAGCAAGAGTCCTGACAGGGACTAGAAAGAGAGCATATTTCTCCTGTTTTGGCTTCCCTTCATTGGCTTCCTGTTAAATCCAGAATTGAATTCAAAATCCTGCTCCTCACATACAAGGTCTCAAATAATCAGGCCCCATCTTATCTTAATGACCTTGTAGTACCATATCACCCTATTAGAGCACTTCGCTCTCGCTCTGCAGGCCTACTTGTTGTTCCTAGAGTATTTAAAAGTAGAATGGGAGGCAGAGCCTTCAGTTTTCAGGCCCCTCTTCTGTGGAACCAGCTTCCAGTTTGGATTTGGGAGACAGACACTATCTCTACTTTTAAGATTAGGCTTAAAACTTTCCTTTTTGCTAAAGCATATAGTTAGGGCTGGACCAGGTGACCCTGAATCCTCCCTTAGTTATGCTGCAATAGACGTAGGCTGCCGGGGGATTCCCATGATGCATTGAGTTTTTCCTTTCCAGTCACCTTTCTCACTCACTATGTATTAACAGACCTCTCTGCATTGAATCATATCTGTTATTAACCTCTGTCTCTCTTCCACAGCATGTCTTTATCCTGTCTTCCTTCTCTCACCCCAACCGGTCGCAGCAGATGGCCGCCCCTCCCTGAGCCTGGTTCTGCCGGAGGTTTCTTCCTGTTAAAAGGGAGTTTTTCCTTCCCACTGTTGCCAAAGTGCTTGCTCATAGGGGGTCATATGATTGTTGGGTTTTTCTCTGTATCTATGAAGCGCCTTGAGGCGACTTATGTTGTGATTTGGCGCTATATAAATAAAATTGAATTGAATTGAATTGAATATCTCTGTGCAGCAAGCAACAGGCGCCCCTCAGAAATGGAGGGTGCCCTTACTCGCAGCAAATGAGCGGGAGTAAAAAAAATGCATATTTTCCCCAATCATGCTGCACTTTCAGAAGTTTTACAAATGAATATTGCAGTGGAGGTTCTTTTTTTTCCCTTTTCTTTTTTTTTTTTTTTAATCAACCCTGACATCATGCCCTGGCATGATATTAGGGTTATTTTTAGTCACAAGGGAGGCGTGGTCTTAAAAGTATTTAAGCAGCTGTTTGTCTCTTCTTCTGCATCTCAGTGTCAGATAACCAAAAGGCTCCCAGATGATTCCGTTTTGGACTCTCGGATTTGGTAGGCGAATTTCCCACCTTTACTGAAATAGATTTTGAATAATTTGAATAATTTATTTTTCTTAACTTTACAGTAATTCTTATCTGCCTGTTCTTTCAGTTTGTTTAATTATTGACTTCAGCACTGCTCATGGTAAGTAGGTTTTATTTTTATTTATTTATTTAATGAGCTCAGAATAAAGGGCCACTGATGTTTGTTGTGAGCTTGCCTGTGTTAAAGAAAGTGGAGATAAAACAAAGCACCATGTGTAATTTAAAATGTAAATCATATACTCACTAAATTAAAGCATTATTATTTTAAAAAGAAATGCTCTTTGTTTATGTGTAAAGCCTATTTAATCTATTTGAAATATTAATTTAACTAAATCTGAGTAAGCGGTGAGTGGATGCTTAGAGGGGGCTTTTTTTTCTTTTTTTATGAAAGAATTTCATGAAAGTACACAGAAAAGGTTTCCATAGCCAGGTACCAAACTATTATTATTGTTGGGTTTTTGCTTTGTGTTTTTCACTTTCAGCTGTGTTTGCAAACCTTTGTCGGGAATGCGCTGCCTGTGTTTCGTCATAAGATAATAATTTACAGGGGCGTTATAGAAAAGTGAAAGGTAATTGATTTGGCAGAGAGTTATGCGTGTATGCGGTACACTGATATTGTACTCATCTCTAAAGAAGAACTGGGGGGCGTTTTTGTTTTTCACCTTTTAAAGTCTGAACAATGCAGAATGTATTATATTCGTTTAGAACACCTGCTGACATATTAACACGTTTTAGCTTGTTAATGCCATGACTCACACCTTTGACTTTGCATCTGTTGGCAGAGCCTGCAGTTGGAGAAAATGCAGCCTCCAAAAACCACTGTTCTCGGTAAGTCGACTCTTTCTCAATTGTTTCTCAAAAGTTGTGTTAAAACAACCCCCCCAAAAAGTGATGTATTTCGACCATTATTAGGTCAAGCACTGACCTGGCGGCTCAGGGAACCCATGATGATTATGATGTTCCTCAGAAGAATAGGATAAACAAATAAGGGGAGTGAGGGGGGTGGGGGGAGTCCAGCATCAATAAATATATAGTGTTCAAGTTAAAAGTTTAACTACTAAATAGACAAACAAGTAAATTATACATTTCACATCACATTGGTGTAAAGTGACTGTTGGACCAGGACTGGTTCATAAAGTATTTCTGAAAATTTCTCTGGAGCACATTTCAGTAAACTAAAGTAATCTAAACACAAGACACTGGAAATAGGAAACTATCAGAATCAGGGGCGGAGCGTGGGGGTGGCTTACTGGGCTTAAGCACGGGTTGTTTTTTCAGAAGCCCAGGGTCTTTTGGAGTGTAATTTTTTCATAGTTAGATGCCTGGCTGACAACTGTATAAAACAAAAACTACACACAATATTCGAAGCACATAGTGCACACTGTGGGAATTTACGACTGTGCGTAAATCCCCCCTAATATTGGTATGATCCGAGCTCAGACACTAAGCGGGGCGGGGCAGCTGCTGCCTGCCAGTGCGCTGTTAGAGAAACGCAGCCAGGCAGACAGAGGAGAACTGAAGTTCGACCAGGTACCAAAGAAAATCATTCGTACTGTACAAATAATGTAAATATGACAGTGTATCACGAAAGATTGATATCAAACTGATCACTTGACCCATATTACGTTACTTGCTCTTCGAGTGAATCAACAAATAATTAATAAATCAGTTTCAGTAATGTACTGATATACAAGAATGGACATAAGGGGCTTCTTTCAAAGAAAAAACTCTGGTAGTATTTTATATATTATGCTTGTATGTTGTTCAGTATATTTCTATGCAAAACAAGAGGAATTTCAATACACAGCAGTATATTCACAGTTTAAACCAGATATTTACATACACTTTATGGAAAACACAAGAACATTTTTTTACTGTACAACATCAATTTAGAGTAAACTTGTTTTGTTTTGGAAATAAATATTGAAATATCTTTTGAATTAGTTAAATGTCAGAATAAAGAGAGACAGAGCTGTCTATTTTTATCACTTTCATCAAATTTAGGAGTACATGTACACTAAGTTTATTGTTAATTAATAAGAAAACTCCAGACGATTCCATTCTGAGCTGAAGAAGCTTCTGATAGGTTAGTAGAGTCCATGTGAGTAAATTGGTGGCACAGCTGTGGATGCATATAAGGCAAAACACAGAGCCTGTTTCTTTGAAATGGGAAAATCAAGAGATGTCAACCAAAAATAAATGGTAAATGGCCTGTATTTATATAGCGCTTTACTAGTCCCTAAGGACCCCAAAGCGCTTTACATATCCAGTCATCCACCCATTCACACACTGGTGATGGCAAGCTACATTGTAGCCACAGCCACCCTGGGGCGCACTGACAGAGGCGAGGCTGCCGGACACTGGCGCCACCGGGCCCTCTGACCACCACCAGTAGGCAACGGGTGAAGTGTCTTGCCCAAGGACACAACGAGACTGTCCAAGCCGGGGCTCGAACCGGCAACCTTCCGATTACAAGGCGAACTCCCAACTCTTGAGCCACGATCGCCCCAGAACTGTGGAGCTCCATAAGTGTGGCTCAATTTTGAATACAATTTGGTGCCATTTGCAATTAAGAAATACAGATAGTTTCTCTCTTTACTCTTAAAGTTAACAAATATGTTTTTTATATTTATCAATCTAAAAAAATAAACATTTAGTCTGATTTGATGTTACAATTAAAAAAGTGTTTTTATCTGAAGAGTACATAAATATCTGGTTTCAACTGTATATTTGATGATTGTCAGCACAAAGAGGGAGAGAGAGAACAGAGATGAACAAGAGCAGGTGAGACACACATGTTAGTCAAATGGTCGTTTACCAAAAGTATCACCGTATCATAGGTACTCATGTATCTCGTACCTAGTGTTTCTTTTTAGGTTTGTTATTTTTCAAATTCTATATTTATTAAGTTGTGCAGGCTTGTTTCAAAGGAGCTTGCAAAGAAAAGCGTCTGGACTTCTTTATGTTGCTTGAAGACGTTTCACCTCTCATCCGAGAAGCTTCTTCAGTTCTAAGGTCAAATGGTGGAGAGTCCCAGATATAAACCTAGTGGGAGTTTCCCCCCACAGAGGGACAAAAGGACCCCCTGATGATCCTCTAATCGCCTGAGCCAAGGTGTGAAACTGGGTGTGGGTCCCAATCAGCCAGAGTTTCGGGTGAGTTCATTGTGAAACCTGGCCCCACCTTATCATGCGAATTCCTGAGATCAGATGGCCCAGGATGTGAGTGGGCGTTAAGGCGTCTGGGAAGGGATCTCAAAACTGGATTATAGATGGCAGAGAGTTGGTGTCGTAAACCCCCGCCTCTGTTCAAAGATGGTCGCTCACAGTGGACATAGATGGCTTCTTTCACTCCTCTTTCAAACCATCTGTCCTCTCTGTCCAAAATGTGAACATTGGCATCCTCGAAAGAGTGTCCTTTATCCTTAAGATGCAGATGGACTGCTGAGTCTTGTCCTGTGGAGGTGGCTCTTCTGTGTTGTGCCATGCGCTTGCAGTTTTGCACAAGGCTTGTTTGCACAACAAGGCTAAATAATTATATAAACTTTTCTCAATCTAAATATTGTACTTTGGTAGAATTAAAAAATAAGTGTAGTGCAGGTCTATGATGATTTTTAGTGCTACTATCATCTAGTTCTGATTCTGGTTCTGTCTTGGTTAAGTCCTCAGTAGTCCTGATTTTGAACTGTTGTAGTCCTGTTTTAATTCCGGATCAGTTCTGGGTCTGGTTGAATTGGGGTTTAGTCCTCGTGTCTTGATACAGCCCCGACTTTGTTCTGCCTTGCTGCTTAATTAAAAAACTAGTTTAAGGTGTCCTGCATATGTGATATATATTTTTCCCTATATGAAGTCATTCTTTTTTGAACAAAACTCAAAACAGAGCCTATTAATCTTTCAGTCATTTCACCCCCCCCCCCCCCCCCCCCCCCCCCCAAAAAAAAAAAAAAAAAAATCCCACATGCATACTACCCTTTAGGGCTAAGCCCCGGGTGTTTCAAATGTTTGGCTCCGCCTCTGCTGCAAACAGGCAGAGATGTGTGTTGTATGTTATGAAACCCACAGGCATCAAACTCACCTGACTGAACAGAGAGCAACCTTAGTTTATTGGCCAATCTTTTACACACACACAGCAACTTCCAACATGGCAACCTATCCACCTCTCATCCAGCAGTCCACCTTTATATACTCTTAGACCACGCCTTCTCAATTCAAACTGGCCTATGACAGAATCCCCCCAGAGAGGAGGAAAGAAAAACAAAGAAGATTAGTTTTCACAAATAATCCTAAAATGATCATTTACTTGTCAAAATGAAGCAGACATGTCATATATACATACAGAATTTAAAGGTCATTTCACATTTCAAATTACTTTGAAGTTCTGCAAATGGTTGAGCAACCAAGCACCTACTCTTCCTAGCTCACATCCTATAAAAAAGCTGCCTTTTTTATAGGATTTTCGGGCTTCCTGAGAAGCTAGAATTATGGGCAGGTTGTGGGGCATCAAATACTAATTTCACTTAATGTTATGTAAATCAATTTATGACATTTATGTAAAGTTTGTTTTCTGGATTATTGACTTAACCCTTCATGGTATACATTAAGCAAGTTGCTGGGAACATTCTTCAGAGATTTTGGTGAATAATGACTTGATAACGTCAAACATTTGCTGCAGATATCTCTTTGAAAGAGATCTCTTTCAATCACATCCCAAAGGTGCTCTGTTGGATTGAGAACTGGTGACTGCGCTAGTCATTTAAGTACAGTGAGCTTGTCATGTTCAAAAAACTAGTTTGATATGGTTTGAGACTCATCAGAATATTTTGTCAGTCTTCTGTTTTCCAATTTTAGTGAGTCCTGAATTCTAGTTTCAGTTTCCTGTTCCTAGCTGACAGGAGGAGCAGGCGTGCTCTGCTTAAAGGTTTGACATGTTATGTTCAGAGATGTTTTTCTGCGTATCTTGTTTCTTGGTTGTAACAAGTTGTGATTTCAGTTTCTGAAATAGTCAGAACAGACTCTCCAGCATCAACAACCATTCCATGTTCATAGTCACTTCAGTTTCAACTATCAGCAGGTTTTCTTGAGCATGTCTACATGTCTAAATGCTCTGAGTCGCTCCCTTTTAATTAGGTGATTGGATATTAGCATTAAAAAGGAGCAGAACGAGTATACTTAATGAAATAGATAGTGAGTGTAAATGCACTGCTGTTGACATACAGTTATAGATTCTTTTTCTTTTTTTGACAGCTCCCTTTAGGAGTTGGAAAAACTGATCATCTTCCTCCATCTCACCCTATCTCTTGCATCCTCTTCTATCACACCAGCCCTCTGCATGTCCTCCTTCAATATATTCACAAATCTAATCTGGGATCTTTTCCTCTTGCCTGACAGCTTCATATTTAACATTCTTTATCCTTTGTCCAATATATCCTGCGTGCATTCTCTTCTTCACCTCCACCACCTGCACTGTCTATTGCTTTTGATTTAAACTTGTTTACCTTCACCAAATCTACTCTTATGTTATAATGTTATGTATGTGGAATAGAAATGAGTGACAGGGATAATATCCTGGGTTTTGTTATCTGTGCTTTTTTAGAAAAGACTGCAATGGAACACAGTATGACATCCAGGAGGCTGCTTGCTGTGAAAACAAACTTCATCCAGGTTCAAATCTGTTTTGTTGTGGAAAGGAGCCTTACAATCCTGCTACAGCCACTTGTTGTAAAGTTCAACATGGAAAGATCCTCACAGGTAATGAATTTGTGAATTAGCTAACTAAAAGCCAATGTTAATTTGACTTTGTAAATGTGAAAGAACCAGAGTGCATGAATGTAAAGAAGCAGCTTCAGTGTTTTACTGGTTTGTTGTTTTCATTTACGCTTCGGGAATCAGAACGGTCTCTTTAAACTCCTGTTTTGGTAGCTGCAGTTTGCAGAGATGTTAAATTGCACTGCTTGAGATTAAAAAGGTTAATATTAATACTTTACAAATTAAACTTGCAGATGATTGTATAAACTTCCTACTTTGGTTTGAAAAGCTACATTACGTTTAACCCCTTACCCAATCAGCAATGACTTTGATTCAACTTGAAGCATATATATTGTGCTTTATAAGACAAGAAACATCCAAATATAGAAGACAACCACATCTAAATTTTAAGAGTCTGCCAAAAAAATATTCATCATTGATCGATCCATCTGCTAGCACTTAGTGTTAGATGTTTCAATTTATTTACGGGGTTAGGGTTCGGCAGAAGAAGTTTATTTTAGTTTTTCGTTAAGTCATTCTTGCATTCTTCCATTTCTTTCTTATAATTGTTGCAGTACATGAAGAAATACAACAAAAGATTAAAAATTTATCGTCACAGTTTTCATCCAGCCCATAATTTATTCCAAGCAAGAGATTTTAGGCTCAAATATAATAAAAACCTACCGGATATGTTTAGACTAAGGAGCTTGGAAAGAAAAGCGTCTGGACAGAGGGACAAAAGGACCCCCTGATGATCCTCTACCTAATCACATGAGCCAAGGTGTGAAAATGGGTGTGGGTCACAATCAGCCAGGGTTTCGGGTGAGCTCATTGTGAAACCTGGCCCCACCTTATCATGTGATTTCCTGAGGTCAGATGGCCCAGGATGTGAGTGGGCGTTAAGGCGTCTGGGAAGGGATCTCAAAACTGGATTATAGATGGCAGAGAGTTGGTGTCGTAAACCACCGCCTCTGTTCAAAGATGGTCGCTCACAGTGGACATAGATGGCTTCTTTCACTCCTCTTTCAAACCATCTGTCCTCTCTGTCCAAAATGTGAACGTTGGCATCCTCGAAAGAGTGTCCTTTATCCTTAAGATGCAGATGGACTGCTGAGTCTTGTCCTGTGGAGGTGGCTCTTCTATGTTGTGCCATGCGCTTGTGAAGTGGCTGTTTGGTCTCTCCAATGTAGAGGTCTGAGCATTCCTCGCTGCACTGTACAGCATACACCACATTGTTAAGTCTGTGTTTTGGCGTTTTGTCTTTCGGGTGAACCAGTTTCTGTCTGAGCGTGTTGCTGGGTCTGAAATACACTGGGATGTCGTGCTTGGAGAAAACTCTCCTGAGTTTCTCTGATACACCGGCTACATAGGGGATGACAATGTTGTTGCGTCTGTCTTCTTATCCTCCCTCGCTGGTGTCTGATCTTCTTTTCTGTGCATCTTTGCTGATTGTGACCAACACCCACTTTCACACCTTGGCTCATGTGATTAGGTAGAGGATCATCAGGGGGTCCTTTGTCCCTCTTTGGGGGGAAACTCCCACTGGGTTTAAATCTGGGACTCCCCACCATTTGACCCTTAGAACTGAAGAAGCTTCTCGGATGAGAGGTGAAACGTCTTCAAGCAACTCAAGAAGTCCAGACGCTTTTCTTTCCAAGCTCCTTAGACTACGATGACCTGGATGACTGAGAACCTTCACAGACAGTATTTAAAATTAATGTTTGCTTCTTTAAACTTCTGAACTTCCTTGCAGTGATTTCATTACCATAAACCACTCGCCATAACAAATTTTCTGTTGTTACAATATGTTATCTTGTTTTTACAGCTAGTATTACTCAGGGTCTGAGTGAGAAGGCGTCCAAGTGCTGTGACCTGAAGGCCTACAACCCAGTCAATGAAATATGTTGTCAATCATCCATCATATCAAAACCTGGACCAATGGCTGAATGCTGTGGTAAAGGTGAGCAGACACACAGTTGGAAAAGAAGACTAAATTACATCTTCATTACAAATCATTGCTGTCAGTGAAATGTTATTAATTAAACACAGAAACATTATTGTTTTTTTAGTAGAACAATTTTACAATTCTGTGAAATGTACTCCATTCAAACATTTTAAGGATACTGGAGCAGCTTCTCAGTTGAGTTATATTTGAAGTAAAAATTTTAAAAATGACAATGAGCTTTTCCACAGATGTTTTTGATAAGGACAAGCAGTTGTGTTGTGGTCCAGCTGATAATAAGACAATTCTGGTGAGGAATTCCCGTCACCATGAGTGCTGCGGTCACAGCCAGTATGACACTGAGACTCAGTGCTGCTGTTCAAATGAGGAGAAGTTGGAGATACAATCGAAGGATTCACCCTGCTGTGTCAGGAATTTCACTCCAGGTCAGCTCAGTACATAATAGCATGTCATTCTTTGCTGAATGGATTTCATGACACATTTTGTAGTTTGAATCCAACTTTACATATCAGTCTTTAGGTATGTCAAACTGTATGTATGGTTACATTTGCTAAAAAAGAAAAAAAAAGGAGCTTTCGATTAGTTTGCTTGCAGCAAATTTCCCTTTTTCCATTTTCCTTTGGATGGTTAAAGGAAGCTTATGCTAATTACTGTGAGTGAAGCCTGTATGTTGACTTTGTCTTTCCCTCTACAGGCCTTTCAAGTGGAAATACCAACTTCAACAAACCATCACCAAAGAATGGAAGTTGTGGTCAAGGTGAGTAGAGCTGATAAGACCTTATAATCCTGAATGAAAAAGCAGTCTTTAATGGATATCATTTATGAAAAACCTGTAAACCGAGCATTTAGTTTAAAGAGCTGATCATTTACTGAGATTAAAATATTTAATCTAAAAAACAGAGATTCCACAGAGATTTACAATATGGAAAATAAGTTGTGTTGCGGTCCAAATAATGATAAAAAGATCCTGACAAGGAAGTCCAGAGATCATGTGTGCTGTCATCATGGCCAGTTCAACGTCAAAACTGAGTGCTGCTGTTATAAGAATCATAGTGCTGAAGTACAGTTGACGAATTTGTCTTGCTGTGAGTCAACTATATTTTAATATCAGAACTTGTCATTTATTTTTAACAAAATAAAAACCTAAACACTTATCATACCACACTGTGATTCTCAAATTAAGTATAGTACTTTTATAGGGGTTTAATAGGGGTTTTTGTTTGTTTGTTTTGGCTAATGAAAACTCTTTGTGCTTTATATCCACAGGTATGAAACAGAAGGTAGGTGTTGTGTTTCTTGGGAAGTCCAGGGGACCTCTGGAAGTAACAATAAAAATGCCAAGTTTGAAAAAAGGGACAAGGAGGCAAACCAGGAATAAAAACCTATTTTTAAAAATTAATTATTAAACAGAAATTAGGTTATAGTTAAGTTTAGACTAAGGGTTATGATTAGGCGTTTATTTTTGATGAGTAGGGTAAGCGGTAGAAAGCATTATGTGTGAGATTAGATAATGTGGACGAGATATGACAAGACTCTGTGTGTGTGTGTGTGTGTGTGTGTGTGCGTGTGTGTGTGTGTGTGTGTGTGTGTGTGTGTGTGTGTGTAAATCTTTTATTTTATTTTTCAGATATTCAAGCTCCAACCCAAATGGTAAGTTAATGAAAACGTTTGGTTGTGGTTCCTCGTTTTTCTTTTCTTTTGTTTTGTTTATTTGTCTCTTTTAATTCTATGTTGTTGTACTTTTTCAACATGTTCAAAATAAAGATTCAATCAATCAATATAGTTCCACTTTATATACCGTCAGTGCACTTTACATAGTTAAGAACCTTATACAGATAGAAACTCAGCAATCCCTTTTGAGCAAGCTTTAGTGTGAATGAAACACTCCACTGAAAGATGTACAATCATGCAGGTAACTTACAGACATAACACAAAGTATGACTATTTTACAAAGTAGCAAAGGATTGTTTTGACTATTCATTTAATTTTCTTTATATTCTCAAACGGTCAAAAAATTTAAGTTCAGGTTTTTTGGAGTTAAGAAAGTTAAGAAGTTTTCTGTTTTCCACATTGTTTCGCTTTGGTTTTGCTCCCTGATTACTTTCAGTTATACATGATGGTTAAGTTTAGACACTAAAATATTTGGTTAGGTTTGGGAATACATTTTTTGTTTGTTTATTTCGGTCAGAATGTATGTCTTTACAATAACCTGAAAGATTAAAAATAATGCTTAGGACACTTAGGAGATCCTTTCCATTTCCACTGACTCCCAAAAAATATAACTATAGCATGATTGGAGGTCAAGGATTAGAAACCAACCAAACTTCTAGAAAATCATTAAACCCATTAATGCACTGAAATGTGCATAAAATTTGAGTATAAGTTGTGCAGCCTACATTATAAAACAAATTGTTTCCATACTTCTTTTCTTTTCTTTTTTTTAAAATTTAATGTGAAATGGTCTGTTTTGTGTTGATTGTTGCCTGTTTTACACACATCCACAGCACTGAACCAAACACACATCTCTGTGGGTCGTCGTGTTACAATCCAAAGCAAAATCGCTGCTGTGAGAGTAACCACAAGCCTCACTCACTCGACAACTCAGGTGTCACTATCTATTTGTTTGTTTGCCTTTGTTTTGTAGTTGTTTTGGTTGTTACTACTGTATTACATCACTCTGTGGTGTATGTAGTATGTAGCTATGTAGTAGAGTAAGTTGAACAAGTAACCTCACCCCAACAAGGCAGTTAGAGCTGAGTGAGCAATTGTTTCTTTGTCATGTTTGTCTTATGTGTATCATTGTAAAAAAACAAAGAATTACTTGAACGCGTCATTTGTTTCTGTGGTACTTATAATTTTTGGAAAATACCTCTAAAGGTAAACAGTTAAAACAAAAGAAAGAAGATTGTTTTAAAGAACCTTTAGTGGATTTAGTGGAATGTAGTATTGAGAATGCAAACCGACATGATACCCAAAGAAGCAGTAGCAGCAAAACATAAAAAGAAGGATTTTACCTTCCTACCAAACAAACTATGAGATCACAATAATGTGATTTTGTCATGATCATTCTTGTAGGAACTTGCATTGATAGTCATGAAACATTAATATGTTATTGTAGCAACAACAGGAAGAAGAAATTGCTCATATAATTATCAGTTATTATACACATTCTTGAGCTTATCTCAGCTCTTGACAGGTCACGGGTCTAATGGTAAATTAAGAGATAATGAGATCATGACTATGCAAGAAATAAGAGGGGGGAAATCAGAAGAAGTCTGGGTGTCTGTCTGAACTCGTTCATTGTTAGCGGAAATCAAAAAGTGTAACAATGTTTTTACATCACTTGAAATTCAGGACTGTTCAAATGATGTGAAAACACATAAGCTCTGACTTCAAAGAGTGAATGAGTTAAAACTTGCTCGCTATATCTCCTTTCTCCTCTTTCTATTCTCTAAACCACCCTGTTTAGGTCAAAGGAAGGCCACAGCTACAGTGTATAACCCACATACTCAGGTCTGCTGCGATGGACGTGTATCTCCGTGGAAGCCTTGGATCGATCAGGTAATGTACTAATTGCTCCCCAGCCCCTACTGGGAAAAATGATCAAACCACCATTTTCACTGAAAGTTGAAAATCTAAAGCACTGTTTTACTGAAGCAGAAAAAGGTTTGAAAGCATACATACCTTTTATTATTAAATTCAATCATATAGCTTTACAATGTAGAAAGTTGGCAAGAGTGCTACTTTTTGACAACAGAATTCAGAGGTCCAGGCCACTGCTTTCACACAGTGCCAGAGGCTGGATTCTATCTCTGTTTTCTACGTGTAAAATTCCCTTAACACCGTCCGTGTCACAAGCAATGATGGGAACTCAAGCGCAGAGCAGAGTTCAGTCCCAAAAACAGAGTTTTTGTTTTTACACAATCACCAGGTGCAGAATATTTACAGTGGAGGAAATGCGGGGTTCCTAGGGTCCAGGGGGAAAATCCGGGAAGGGGAAGCTCTCTCACACACGCTCTCTTCTTCACACACGTCCACACAGCGGGTAGTTTATGGGAAAACTATTCATAAGAGAGATTGGTTAGTAAGCAAAATCACAGATTTACACACAAAAGTTCACTGAGGCTAGAGTCTCACTAACGTGTCTTGCACAATCATCCAGTGATGAGACTGTCTGCGTCCTGGCTTTAAATGGCAAACACATAATGGCAGCCTGATGGGCAATAGGTGTGTGGACCAAGGTGTGTGGAGCCCGCAGAGAGCTCCGCCCATGCAGCAGGGCGAGAGAAAGAGAGAGTAAACAAAAACACATGTAGCCTTGCGGGGCCGGCTGGGCAGACACGGGGACCATGATAGTCCGTATTCATTACTGCCAATGCAAAAGGATCAAAAGTCTGGTAAGGCTAAAAGACTGTAGAAACATAATGCATGGATGTTACATGTATGTAATGCAGAATTTTCGCAAGTGTTTTATGTTCTTAATTTGCATTTTTCATCTGTTTTTTCTTCATAAATCATGCATTTCTCTGTTTAGCTTTGAATGTGTAAACTAGACAGTCTGGTTGTGTCTGCTTGCACAGTTTACTGTATTATGTCTGATTCTTCAAGTGCTGTGGAGAGACGCCGTATGGCTCGGCACAACGTGGAGTTCTGTGTTGTAATAAGAGCTTGTACGAGGGCAGAGATGATGGAGAGGAATGTTCAGAGATGGGTATTCCTTACAACCCGGCTAAAGGGACCATGTGTTGTTCTCAGTTTCATGGCAGCCCAGGACAACACTGCTGTGGGACAGAAATTTACCAGCCTCATACTGAGATCTGCTGCAATGGACACAGGTGATTGTGTGCATGTGTTCTGTTTACTTGCTTTACATTGGGTCAAAGGAGCTTGCAAAGAAAAGCGTCTGGACTTCTTTAAGTTACTTGAAGACGTTTCACCTCTCATCCGAGAAGCTTCTTCAGTTCTAAGGTCAAATGGTGGAGAGTCCCAGATATAAACCTAGTGGGAGTGTCCCCCCACAGAGGGACAAAAGGACCCCCTGATGATCCTCTAATCGCCTGAGCCAAGGTGTGAAACTGGGTGTGGGTCCCAATCAGCCAGAGTTTCGGGTGAGTTCATTGTGAAACCTGGCCCCACCTTATCATGCGAATTCCTGAGATCAGATGGCCCAGGATGTGAGTGGGCGTTAAGGCGTCTGGGAAGGGATCTCAAAACTGGATTATAGATGGCAGAGAGTTGGTGTCATAAACCACCGCCTCTGTTCAAAGATGGTCGCTCACAGTGGACATAGATGGCTTCTTTCACTCCTCTTTCAAACCATCTGTCCTCTCTGTCCAAAATGTGAACATAATTATTGACCGCCTTACATATCACCGCCTTTACCCAGGGGATGCCATACCCTGCATTTACGGACTTCCTAAAATCCACAAGGAAGCTGTCCCACTCAGACCCATAGTCAGTAGCATAAACTCAGCCACTTATAACATTGCTAAACACCTTGCTACCATCCTTGCTCCTCTCGTGGGGAACACCCCACACCACATCAAGAACTCCACCGACTTCACCGACAAGGTCCAGAAACTTACCCTGGATCCAGATGAAACCATGGTGTCCTTTGATGTAGTCTCTCTCTTCACTTGCATACCCACCACGGAGGCCGTGGAGACTGTCAGAAAACGACTACAAGAAGACAGCTCCTTGGAGGACAGGACCAACTTCACACCCGATCAGATTTGCACACTGTTAGACCTCTGCCTCACCACTACATATTTCAAATACAACGAAGGCTTTTACAGACAAAAACATGGCTGTGCCATGGGCTCCCCCGTGTCACCTATTGTAGCCAACCTTTACATGGAGGAAGTGGAAAGGAAGGCTCTTGGCTCTTTCAAAGGAAGAGTACCCAGCCACTGGTACAGATATGTAGACGACACCTGGGTCAAAATCAAGACACAAGAAGTGGAATCCTTCACTGCGCACATTAACGCTGTGGATAAAAACATCAAGTTCACCAGGGAAGACACAAAGGACAACTGTTTGCCTTTCCTGGACTGCGCTGTGCACATTGAAGAGAATGGCAACCTCAACATCGAAGTTTACCGGAAGCCCACACACACGGACCAGTACCTCCTGTTCGACTCCCATCACCCTCTGGAACACAAACTTGGAGTAATTAGGACCCTACACCACCGGGCAGAACATGTTCCCTCTAAGCCTGAAGGAAAAAAGAAGGAACACACACATGTAAAGGAAGCACTCAAAACGTGCGGCTATCCTAAATGGGCGTTCTTAAAGTCAGCAAAGAGGCACAGAAAAGAAGATCAGACACCAGCGAGGGAGGATAAGAAGGACAGACGCAACAACATTGTCATCCCCTATGTAGCCGGTGTATCAGAGAAACTCAGGAGAGTTTTCTCCAAGCAGACATCCCGGTGCATTTCAGACCCAGCAACACGACTCAGACAAAACTGGTTCACCCGAAAGACAAAACGCCAAAACACAGACTTAACAATGTGGTGTATGCTGTACAGTGCAGCGAGGAATGCCCAGACCTCTACATTGGAGAGACCAAACAGCCACTTCACAAGCGCATGGCACAACACAGAAGAGCCACCTCCACAGGACAAGACTCAGCAGTCCATCTGCATCTTAAGGATAAAGGACACTCTTTCGAGGATGCCAATGTTCACATTTTGGACAGAGAGGACAGATGGTTTGAAAGAGGAGTGAAAGAAGCCATCTATGTCCACTGTGAGCGACCATCTTTGAACAGAGGCGGTGGTTTACGACACCAACTCTCTGCCATCTATAATCCAGTTTTGAGATCCCTTCCCAGACGCCTTAACGCCCACTCACATCCTGGGCCATCTGACCTCAGGAAATCGACATGATAAGGTGGGGCCAGGTTTCACAATGAGCTCACCCGAAACTCCTGGCTGATTGGGACCCACACCCATTTCACACCTTGGCTCATGTGATTATAGAGGATCATCAGGGGTCCTTTTGTCCCTCTGTGGGGGGAAACTCCCACTAGGTTTATATCTGGGACTCTCCACCATTTGACCTTAGAACTGAAGAAGCTTCTCGGATGAGAGGTGAAACGTCTTCAAGTAACTTAAAGAAGTCC